TAGATAGTACCTATCTGGCATTCCATCCAGTTTAGTACACAAACGAATGTTGACAGAATTAACAAATTCATCTCGACATGTCTTATCACTCACGCACGCATGCAATATAAAGCGAGCACATAGGAGAGCCGACCACAAATAGGACACACGTAGAAGCACAAATGAACCAAAGGAAAGTACCCACCTAATCATTCAATCAATCCGACGTTGATGTACCCGGCGATCGATTCAATCAGCAGACATTAACATGGCTTATTATAGCGGAAGACAGAGAGCTGATTGTCCGCTGTGCGAGTGTGTTGCACTGTATGTATTGCGAAGTACATCACACCAGTACAGTACAAAACACCGGAGTTTCTCTTAGTGACAAAACGCCGAAAATTGAAAAGTGTACAAAGCGTATTGAGGTTTCGACAGTCTTCCGGGGCTTCAAGGCAATTTGAACTTTATTATCTTACTACGTAATCAGAAAATGTAATTTCTCTCTGATGTACCATAAAACATGTCTCCGACACGGGGACTGAAACCGTTGAAACTGCTATTGAAGGAACGCCCAAACTTATATAAAAATAGTTGAAATTTTGATGACTTGAAAGTAACAGAAAAGGTAGCCAGTCTTCACTCTTCAGTCTACACTTGATCACATTTTACGGCCCGTTATTCCTTTCAACGCGTTTAAAATACCTTTTGTACTGAAAGTTTTCATTGGTTGGTTTAAATTTTTCCATAGGCCTTTTTGTAGGCGCATTGACATTGCTAGTTGCTACTAAATACAGAACGTGATTTTTTTTTTTTAAATCATTTGTGACGGACAGACAGAAAAGTCCTTAATAAAGTCTGGAGGGACTTCTAAAGCTCACGCAATATTCGCAAAGTCAAGCGTCAGTTGGGCCTCAGTCTTAAAGAATCGCAAGAGGTTAAGCGTCAGACTTAAAAATCGCAAGGGGTTAAGCGTCAGATATATTAGTCATGTTGCACGCTTATGCGTCAGACTTAATGATCTCAAGCGTAAGCGTCAGACAGTGGTCGCAATTTTAAGTCGCAAGTATAACGCGTCAGACCTATGCGTCAGACATAGTGGTCGCAAGACAAAAGTCAGACTTGTGGTCGCCGTCTTATCAAATCTCATGTACAAATATGTGCGTGAAAGTCCAGAGTTCTGTCATACATTTGACTATTTGTTTTACTACACACTTTGGTACCTAAAAGGTCTAGTAGCAAGTGTCAACTGTCACAAGAAGTGAATACTAAACTGTCAAGGACTCAGATCTCAGGGGCGGGTGCCACTGGAGTGGACCCAATTAGTCCCAAGGTATGTCAAGAGCAAATTTAAAATGTGGACATCTATCGGATGGACACACCTAGCGGCCATATTATTGGTCAAAAGGCTTTAGGCTTCTTTCACCTGGCCTGTATGTACCACTTTCGAGGCATGGATAATAGTGTGATATCTTGTAAATATGTTCTATAGCGCTGAGCGTGTAGGACTGTATGCATGATGTAGTGTATGTAACATGTATGTATAGCTTCAGCAATAGCAGCCTGTGTGTAAGAATCGGTATTTCCTTCGCCCGTCTTGAATTTAGCGATTCGCAGACCACTACTATGATATCTACGAACAAAAACTCTTTATATAAAGCATTCTATTGCTTCAGACGACGTAGGACTTGCTTTGCGTAGCGAAATCAGCCCATGTTTGGCCTATTTTAAGTGGTATTTAAATACACGTCGTTCTAAATGATACAGAATATCATCAAAACTCAATGTATGAATCAGCGAAAGCATTTATGTTCACAAGCAAGCAAAACAAAGACAGCAAAAATTGACTACATAATAGTGCAGAAGGCTATTTTTTTTTTATTCTTAAAATTACAAATGTATTTACAGGATGTTTTAACATTTCTCTATAGTGTTTTTTTTTTAAAAAGAGTTACATACGGTATGTACTTCACGTCATCACGCCCACGGCCACGCACCAGAAAAAAGAGAACATCCCCGGCGAACAATTTTTTTATTTATATAAAATAAAATATTTTTCGTTACATATATCCGAACACTATGAATTTTAGTATTTATAAAAATAAAAAGTGGACAGATTGTGCGAGAACAGAGTCCTAAATACTGTATTTATAAAAATAAAAAGTGGACAGATTGTGCGAGAACAGAGTCCTAAATACTGTATTTATAAAAATAAAAAGTGGACAGATTGTGCGAGAACAGAGTCCTAAATACTGTATTTATTCCAATTCTAAATTCGTACCCGTCGGGCCGTCAGCGCCGGTCAGTGTGGCGCCAGTGTCACCAGTCAGGCAGTCACGGACTCACGGCCCTCACGGCCCGGGTCACCCTGCAGTCTTTAGGAGTCGCTCAAAGGCTCCCTCACTTTCCCAAACCTACCGTTGTTGACGTAGGTCACGTGAAAATTGGATCTGATCAGTCAGAACGAGCTCCATCATCTCCATGGAGTTGGCATAGATATTTTGCATAGAGCCATAGATACGAAAGGTTTTTACTTTCTGTTTACAAACCCTTTTTTTTTAACAAAAATACACCTGAATATAAATGTTTTATCAGAGAGAATTTAGTATCTGGGGCCCTGGGGGCCGGGGCTCTGAGTCTGGGTGTTCAATTTATTGGATTTTCTGGGACTAGGGGAGATGAAAAAATAAAAATGGTGTTTTATTTGTAAGGACTATGAATGGATTGACATTCTCCCCCCAGCAGAATGGACAAAATCCACTTTCAACACAAAATCATACAGAGCCAGAGCGGCCCCAGGCCCCAAAGCCCAGAGGGGCCACGTAATTTGTAAATCCATATTGATGTACATATGTCTGTACTGTACTTCCTGTATTTTTATTTTTTTACAAAACAAAAACATTAAAAAAGAATAATAATAATAATAAACGACGGTATATTCCATAGAGAGGATAAGACTGGAGACTGAAGAGGCAATGGAATATGAATGGTCTCTCTAATAAGTATTTACATGCCGTTCAATAAATAGCGTGTACAACTGTACATTGTACGTATCATCTCACTGTATTTTAAAAATGTGCAACTACATATTGATAAAAACTTTAGATCCGATTTAAGACTTTATATGCAGAGATTCTTTTTTAAATATAGTCTGTGGCCTGTGCAAACACACTTTTCAGAATTTGGTTTGAAGGAGAACGCAAGGATAGGGCACATAATCGCGAAAAAATATTAGAGTGCAATGGCAGATCAGTATGCGGCCTGTCCTGACCCTGGGCTATGTCTACCGGCGGAAGGTGACAACGTACTGCTGGCTTTTGGACTAACATGTAAGTGATTTACTTGTCTGTGATCTTGGCTTATCTCACTGGTCTTGATGTTTTCTTCTTGGCGGTAGTTACAAGTAGTAGCCTATTCTTTGGAGCTGTTGTCTCATGATACCTCCTGTGAAATACTCACTATGCAGGTGCGCTCAGTTAGCACGATTTTAGTATGTTTCGGTGTATATGCTCCGACCATTTACGTTTTTCATACTCGCGTTTTTTGTTGACTTTTCTGATCATTTGTTTGTCTCGTTCCTCTGTAGTTCTGGCCGGTGCAGCAACACTTGTCGGTGCTTGTGTGCCATTTTTCAGCAAATTGCAAAACCCGAAGTTTCTAAGCGGCGGCTTGGGGTTGGCCGCTGGTGTGATGATTTATGTCTCCTTTGTTGAGATATTCGCCAACAAGACATTTGCATATCTGTGCTGTGTAACCGAATACTACGTGGCGGCTGGCACCGCTGCCTTCTTCGGGGGTATGATTCTAACAGTAGCCTTACACGTCCTCGTGACTTGGGTCCAGGTGAGTTATTCGATGATCTTTAGCGATAAAAATGTACCGAATCGACAGATGTTGGTTTATGTTCTTTTGTATTTGTGTTCGTGTGTGTATTTATGTCTTTATATGTAATTTGGTGTGTATATTTGTATGCTTTTGTGTGTGTATTTTTATGGACATGTTGTGTAAATATAATTATATATATATGTGTGTGTGTGTGTGTATGTCGCACTCTGTCTCTGTCCGAGTATGTACCCATGTATGTATGTGTATAATATATATATAATTATATATGTATGTATGACGTGTATACGTGTATGTGTTTCTATATTTATGTACGCGTATACGTGTGTGTGTTTATATGTATATATCCATAAATATATATATATATAGATATACATACGTATATATCTATGTATTTACGTATCCATGTGTATGTGTGTGTGCGCAAATGTATTAAAGAGCATAATTCGATAGCTTTAATACATGTATATATATATATATATATGTATATATATATATTGTGTGTGTTTGTGTGCAAACGATAGATAAGCATATTTATATAGCTTCAGTATGTGTGTGTGTGTGTGTGACGATATATGAGCATATTTATATAGCTTGTGTGTGTTTGTGTATGTATGTATGTATAACTATATATATATATATGTATGTATGTATATATATAAGAGAACACAATATACATTCACAGAAATGTGCATACATATATTTTCGTGTTTGTGTTTGTGTTGTTTTGTTGTATTGTGTAATTTTTTCTTTTTAGGAGGCTATTTTCGTTACTGTAGACATAGATATGTGTATATATATATGCGTGTGTATCATATATATATATATATATTTAAGTTCCGTGTATAAAATGTGACATAGGGTATCGACGATTTTTATCGTATTTAGTTCTGTAAAAACATTCATATATCACCTGCGAGTACATAAAAGCATGCGCAGTTGTGTAATGATACAAATTTGTACATACAGCGGTGCTGAATGGGACTTAACGTAGCTCATTGCATAACACTACGGTTACATCTCATTTCAACTCATGGACATCTAAGCATAAACGGCTTTTTATCATAGCTCGAGATAAATTCTTGTATGCGTTGCCCATGTATAAGTGCCTATGTTTCAGGTGCTAGTTTAGGTCTTCTACGTGTGAATGTTACTGTACACTTGTAACTACACAATTACAGACTTCTAGGCTGTTGATGTTCAGTACATATATAAAACAACCAAGTGCACAAAATGTTTCAGGTATACCATTAGTGGAGTAAGCTCGAGCTTTTGCTTTTTTGTTATCTTAAATTATGTATTTGAGTTATTGGTCTGTCTTCTCTTATATGTATGTAGCACTGGATTTTGTTTTCTTATAAACTAATTTGTACGTGAATTCTCATAAATAATTGTGTAAGAATATCTATATTCATGTTTAGTTGGATGCCTTTTGTGAATGTGCGTTTGTATTTGGGGCAGTCTGTTTTGGAGTATGTAACCTTTAGAGATGGTGTTTTAGTTTGTCTCGGACACTGCCAAATTTATCGAATGTCCATAAATTACGCGGCCTCTTATGTTAAGTAAATTTCAGATGGGGTTCAATATTTATATTTTTGCCTCGCAGAGTTGTCCTCGGCTACATATTCCATTTTAATACCAGTTTCATTATAGTTGTTTACCATACGCGCCTTATTGTGTAAAGTTTATTTAAGATGCAGTGCAAAATCTCTATGGTTGACTCGCGAAATTGCTCAGCTACATATGTTACTGTTTATCTACTAAATGTATGCTAGTTTATGTATGTATACATATATATTTGTGTATGTTTGTGTATTAATATATGTATGTATACATATGTATGTATATATATATATATATATATAATATATATTGTGTATATATATCTATATATGTATATATATATATATATATATCGTGCGTGCGTGCGTACGTGTATGTATATATATATATATGTTATATAAATTTATACATTTCATATGTGTGTGTATTATGTATATGTATATATATATATATACGTGTTCATTGTTTATAATACACATATATAAATTTTCATATACCTTTTTTGCGCGTGTATGTGTAGATATGATTTGATATGTGTATGTTTGTGTGCTTCTTGAATCTGCGTGGTCGCATTTTTATTTTTGTTTTTAAATATATATATATATGGGTCTATCAAATATTATAGTGTGGCTTCGTGTTCCTGCCTTCATATATATCTAGATGTAATCGGGTATTGATATATTGAATAGAAGCATGACAATCTACAGCTTCCTGTAGCTATTGCTACCGCATAGCCACCTTGCTGTCTTCATATTTTGTGGGAGTCTGTATGCGGGGAAGAGTGAAAATTTACGTATTTATGAATACACATTATTTGTTTGCTTTCGATAAAGTTTTAAATTGTTAGCTGTGGATGAACTATTTGGTATGTACGGCTTCTTACTTTATTCGGTGTACGAATGCATGTCTCTATAGGTGAAGAATGCTATTGATGTATGTGTCTACCATCATTTTGATAATCACATCACATTCGATACATATACTATTGTTTTGGCAAATATCTCGTCTTCAGTTCTTACTTCAGTCAAGGAAAATGTATACTAATAACGCCGGGCCCGCTGCAGTTTATGTATTCAGACTTTTGAATTTGACGCACTGTGCCCCTGCTTCCATAATTTTTGTGTTTCAGGGCTTTGATAGTCTGAGCACGAAGAAGTCATTTCTGAGAGTATTTCGAATCAAAGAAAAAAGGAGTAAGCTTGAGACCACGGTGGTTGATGCGAGGGAATCCTTCAATCAGCAAATGGCGGGGGAAGGGGAATTTGAGGAAATCGCCGTGGCAGTGCCTAGAAATATCTATGAGTATTTGAATCCCTCAGAGGATATGTCACCCGCCGTATCATTGACACTTAACGAAAACAGCAATGCTGAATTCTTGAAGCAGAGAAGCGAAACTTTAGTCTCGCAAACCGCCGACGTATCAGAAAGGGTGCCCGACCCCAGAGGCAGTATCGAGACCATTGAAGTCTCACAACCAAATGAGGTGGGTGTTGCGGAAGGCTCAAATGATGAAAATGGAGCAAAAGTTGAGAAAATTAAAAGTGAAATCGACGCTGGTCCTACTACGGAGCACAACACTATCACTGTCGATGGAAGTGTGGATAATTCGTTGCTGGATTTAACAGCCGACAGGGAAAGGCTCACTAATATGAGTATCATCACTGGTATGTAGACATTGAAGCGACTCTTACCACACTTCTTTTTCATAATACAAGTTTGAATTGGACTTTGTTCCATGTGTCATCTCAACAACACCTTTTGCTCTCCTCTCTCGCACTCGTATGTTCGTTAACATGTCATCTTAGTTACATGTTATTTTTTGCTGCTCTCCTCTCTCGCACTCGTATGTTCGTTAACATGTCATCTTAGTTACATGTTATTTTTTGCTGCGCTCCACCGTAGCACATCGCGTTTGGCACGCTGGGCACTCACAAGACCTCATGAATTTTAGCGGCATGTACATTCAATTCGTGCCATTGTGTTGTGCATTGTTTCTATGTCACTCCTGAGTTCGACGCTATGTATACTCCTCATATTCAGCGGCCGCCGTCAGTATCCACAATTTTCCGGAGGGACTGGCAACATTCATAGCAGCATTATCTGATGGTCAACTTGGAGCTATGATGGCTATTTCGATAGCTCTGCACAACATTCCTGAGGGTATAGTGGTTGCAATGCCCATTTACTATGCTACGGGAAGGTATGGTATATCTGCTGTTTGCTTGCAAGCGTCAACACTGTCAGTCCGACCGCATTTGTTATCAATTGGAACAAGTTAAGGGGGGAACTTTAAACCGTCAAACTGTGCTCCTGCATTCAGCAAGTGGAAAGGTTTCTTCTGGGCGGCGATGTCCGGTTTCAGTGAAGTAGTGGGCGCTTTCTTTGGTTGGCTGATACTTAAGGATACCATGGGTCCTACGACTTTTGGAGTTCTATTTGGAATGGTCGCGGGAATGATGGTCTATATTGCTTTTCAGGTAAGTGTCATTGCCGTTGGAGCTCATATTTCCGTGAGTGGATTTGGCATGCCACAAAGGGCCTGCTGTTTAACTTGTACTTTTTTTTTACCGTATCACTTTGTTGGTTAACACAGGAATTACTACCAACCGCTTTGAAGTATGACCCAGCGAATTCTGTTGCATCACCATCGGCATTCTGTGGAATGCTCGTGATTGCCATTAGTTTAGTTGCATTTACATTCGTCTAATACAGAAAAATATATTGGGCATCACTCCGCTGGAATAACTGCTGAATAGGCTGAAAAGAAGATAATTTATTGGTGTGTACACAAATGATGCACCCAACATACCAATCACCAAAAAACACAAACTTAGTCCAACAATTAAAAACAGCCATCAAACGATGGAAATGCTATTTGTATGTACAATTTGTATAGGGAAAGTGGTTAATACTTCAGTGATTGATTTTGTCATTGTCGCATCGTCAGAATTGTGTATATGTAGAATCTATATGCGTTCCGACTACTGGCCGCAATCTGTGGATCAAGAAATGCAATCGCGCTCGTAGACTAAATTATTTATTCCAAAATTCGTTGATTCGCTAGTAAATCAAACAAGTGCTTGTCAAAGCCCTCCTAAATTATATTTTCCTTGCAAGTTGTGAATATTCTACGTAGAAGGCTACAAGACGTTTCGGAGAACAAAAGTTGTTGTTGTTTTTTTTGTTGCACCATTGTTCCAAATTTAAATCTATATATCTATCAATCTATCTATCTATTTATCTATATATATATATATATATATCTACCTATCTATCTATCTCTCAATATATCTATCTATCTCTCAATCTATATATAGTATATACTACATATATATACATATATATATATATATATATATATATATATATATATAGTACTATACTATATATCGTATACTNTACTATNTATAGTACCTATATATACATA